TCCTCGTGCATACTTTGAGGTATTCTCGTAATAACCTTATATTAATACACTAGTGGTGTTCAGACTTACAAAAACATTAGCTCCATGTGGGTACTCTGTTGTACCTCTTGATCCATAAGGAATATCTGTTGATCCTCCTGATCCATAGCCTTGAAAGATTGGCTCATTATTGTGACGTAGGAACATATATCCTTGCCTTGCTTGTGAGCGTCTTTGATAACAACAACAACATCCACATGTCCCGATGAGTATTAGAAACATTATGAACCAAAACCCTACAAACAAAATTAGATAGCAGTGGGTCAAAGCATAGTTACGATGAGTTTAATTTGTAGGGATACCCGGGCCAATTGTTGATGTTAGCTTATATTATAGAAATGAAAAAAAGGTTCAGATCAATTTGTTTTCCAAAATTGATTTGTACACATTTCTTTAATTTCAAAATTATCCTTAAAATTATGCTTTTATTTTAAATTTTCATGAAAATTAAAAATTTTCTAGAATTCAGGCAAAAAATTAAAAAAAGCTATTTTTGCCCAATTTTAACTGATGACAAAATTATGTGGTTTACCCTGACATCTTAACACAACATGTGCTTCTCACATATTATATTATCATCATTCCAACCTCCTGTAGAGAATTACATCACAATAACAATGTGATTCTAAGCCAATAGTTAATCTTTGTATTGTTGAAGAGACGCTAGTACCACATTGTTACATAAGAATAGCTTGATATCAACAAAGAATTGTTCATGGTCTAATCACCTACAATCTGCCACCACATATTCACAACACTCATTGCTGTATTAAATCAATTGTTGGCTTTACATTATTTGCTGGCATTACATATTTACATGATCCACCTTCCAGCTGACTGGACATCCAAAAGTACTTAGCTTGACTTTTGTTCTTATTCATTCATTTTAGATTTTGCAAATAGTTTCTCAATAGAAATGAGGCTTTAATAATATGAATTATTACCACAGCTGAGTCAGTCTATTCAATGTGAGGTGAGATGAAGTGTGAATAGCTGAGGTGAGGTAAGGTAAGGTGTGCTAAAATGCATAATGAAAATATGCCGCACTACGCATAAACTCTGCTTATTTGACAGCAACTCTCTCCCTTGTGACACACTTATTTGAATGTTTTCCATTTTAAATTTACGGCAAGATTATCACAGGACAAGTTGAGTGAGAATGATTAAAACACTGAAATCATGAAGACCCAATCCAGCAGTATTCAGTCAGGCAGACATTTGCTGACAGTACTGTTTCTATGTCTGAATCAGTGGGGATAACTAAAAAATGTAAGGAAATGAAAACATTTTTTGTGAGTTCAAAACAAAATAATTGATGAAATGATGAGTAATGGATTTTCTGTTTGATTTGTAAAGGCAGTATTAAAGCAGGGGAGTCGTCACCTGCGCATGTGTCAGATGGCCATAGCGTGTCATTGTTTACAAACAAGCATCTACCCATAAGGCTTGGTGTTTTAGCATGTGTGGTTATCGTCGCTTGGGACTCAATTCCCGCACATGCGCAGGTGACAACCCTCCCGTTTTAAAACAAATAACTTCACATGGTTGAAGTTTAGATCTTTGAGAGTAGGAATGAAAAGGGCAGTCAAAAAATTCAAGAATGAAAAAAAAAACAATTCACATGCTGGAATGATACATTCATGACAAAGAAAAAACTACATGATGATATATTTTTATCAATGGTTGGATTACAACAATTACATAAATGAGAAGGTCTGTCAGGTGATTCAATATACACACATCCTGACAGTATAAAAAAATGCAAGCAGCAATCTAAAACTAAAATTAACAATGACGAAAGTCTTTTTATCTCTGCCATCATAGACAAGACTGTCAACATAACTGTTAATAAAAAACTGACTAACTTTTAGTGCATCGTAAAAGACGGAAAATCCAAGACAGTTAAAAAATATTTCGAGATACAAAATGATGAGACTTTGCTCAGACAGGACATTTCTGACGACGAACCACCAGAATGGTTGGCCTAGATGTAAACCTACAGAGAGCTACACCGTTTTTAATACAGTTTCATTGTGCAGCTCACAGAGTCACATTGGCACCTGCTGATGCAGCAAAGGGTGTAGAAGTGAAAAAATACACTGTCAATACTGTATGTAAATACTTTCAGTATTCACCAACCCATTAGGAGCACTTGTGTGAGCTCAATGCAAGTATTTAATCTAGCCATACTCAACAATACTACAGTAGCGGCATTTTGTGATTTTCAAGAATCAATGTTCGGGGTGTATGAGAGAAAATTTAACAAAGATTTCATAATAAACCTACAGTTGTATAAATTAATAACATACTACAAGAACATTATATTCCATAATCTTAGATTTTTCATTGATTGTATCATATTATTTGCAATTTTTTTCTAGAGAAAATTGACTAATTTTGGAACAGAGTTGATTAATTTACAAATTATTTAATAATGTACTATTGAAAATTACTTACAGGAGACAGCAAGCACTGATCCAGTATTGCAACATCCCATATCGTCATGGTAACAGCATCTTGGTGTATCTAACGCACAACAGTACTGATCATGATCACAATAAATACCACCACATCGTAAAGCCTAATAAAAAAATATGTCAACAGAATGTGTCAGATTTTATCTACTACCAAGATAGGCATAAATAACTACCTACCCTATGCGCAGTTTTTCAAATAATTTTTCTGAACTTTGTATATGAATAAAGTGCTGCAAACTAAACACAAAAGTAGTGATCATATCCATCAACAGGGGTTTTTCTAGAAAAAACTGCAAGAGGGAGCACTGAATTTAGCGGCGTCACCAAGTATGGGAGCTAGGGTTCTCCCTACCAGTGTGTGGAGTCTTTGATAATTCTAAGTTAAAATGGAGCATTCTATGGCTTCCTTGGGGCCAAAATTACTATCAGACAGGTCACAGTTTCAGACTGTGGCAACATGTGATCTCTGGTCAATCAGGATTTTATAGTTTATAGTCTATCACTATACACTCCTGTATATACATATTCTCTCGCTATTCATTGGCATTTGACAGGCTAGAACTGATTCTACATCAGAGCTGTTGACGTCACTTAAATATTATGTCATAAGAGATTAGTTCTATATTGTCAACAAAATTACTAACTTTTGAGTCAATTCAATTATTGCCCTATCAAATAACTCAGGACAATGTCAAAAGAAACATATCTGCAAAGGCCACATGGGCTTGAAAAAACTAGACAAGATAAGCAAATTATTTTTGTTTAATGAAGTATTAAAAACAATCAGGTAACACAAAATTATGTGTCCAGAACACAATAATTATTGAAATACTGCAGAATATATTTACCTGCAACCTGCAAAATTCACACACACACACATAATCACATTGACAAACATTTGTAGCGACATAATTTGTTTTTGGATCATCATAAAAACGGCATATTATAATAAAAGTTGGTGTCATTTCCAAGAATAATATTGAAATATGAGACATCATTTATTTATTAATTCATTAATTGTTATTCAAAGTAAATTATCACAAAAAGTGTAACTATTATTACAAGTATTTAAAGATTGTAATTAAATATTTTATTTTTAAGAACTAGCACACTGCACACAGGTCACAATTCCCAAATGGGTTTGTAAATACGGCTGAATATTCATGAAACTAATCATATACAAAAATAAATTAGATATAATTTTATGTACATAAAGCTCTATCGATTTATCTATTATAAACTCAACTAAAGGACACAGTCAAAAGATCGATGTCAGATAAAAAAACTTATTTGCTTTAGTTTGGGGGTGGGGGTTTTGACCTCAAAAAGTTTTCATCCTACAAAAACGATTTTATTTTTTAATGAAGTCAAAAAAATCTTGGAGTATTTGTAGTTTTTTTTTTTTTCTTTCCAATCATGGACAAAAATAACAGAAAATAAAAAAACAAACATCCAAAACGAGAAAATGGTTTGGTCCGAATGTAAAGTCTTATTACACCCACCCGACAACCAACTGCTACTTTTTGTATGTCATACTACTGTTCGATTATCAATTTGTATTTAATGGTGAATGTAGTCTGACGCCATGACCAATATTTATCAATTAAGTTTCAGTGGGGAGTAGGGGGGTTTGGGAAAAAAGGAATTAAGTTTTTTATCCTACATTGAACTTTTGATGTTGTCCCTAACATGGTATACTTTTGCTTCTATCAATGAATAATTTATAATTATAATATCGTTATATATTTATGTTGATAATGAAATTTTATTATTATTCTAGTTAATATTACTCCCACTAGGGGCTGTTATCTACAGCTTAAAGGGTATGATATTAATTATGCATCGAGCATGGCAATGCATTTATCACACGAATCTATAGGCTGTCACTTTTGTTCTATACAGGTGACTCTGCATGCACAGAGACTGGTTGGGTTTCTGTTGATAAAACAACTTGTAGGTAATGTTATCACATCAAATTGTAAGCTAATGCCAAGCAGAGAGCAACATTTGTTATCAAATATTTGCATCCTGGTTAACATAAATGTAAACATATGATGTCACAGTGCAATGGCCTACATGTTTAAACAAATTTCTTTATAAGTCAACTCCTAGGCTAGGAAATTTTAATTGTCAACAAGTGATTTTCGCTATTGCATGATTGTTAAATATATTTCTACATTTTGAAACGCAATGATTTTATATTAATATTTTTTTTTATTATATCTTGTAGTTTTTAGTGACTTTATCACTGTATTTTTCAAAGTCAGTATTGTGTCTATAATTAAATTAATAAATATATATATATATATATATATATATATATATATATATATATATATATATATATATTAAAGGGTGGTGGTCATCGTGTCATGCATGCACGAGATATGAGACTCATACAAAATATATATTTATTTATTTATTTACTTATTGACTCTTACACAATCCCTGGAGGGAAAGAAAATGGTCACAAAGTACAAGGTGAAAAATATATATAAAAAACAATATACTAAATAACAAATACAATCACTAAATTACTAAATAATACAAAATCTCTAAATTACTAAATAATATAAAATTACTAAATTGACAGCAGGCATTAAGACGTCAAGTAAGACCCTGCTTTCTGACTTCAAAGCTTTTACTTATGAACTGTGCTACAGGTATAATAATGTTTTCATTCTGTAACAATTCCATGAATTTTTTCTCTGCAGGTTTATTTTCAAATGATGGGATCATATCCTTAGCTTTTTTGAAAAGATTGGTACGCAACTCATTATATTTGTTGCATTCCATCAGCAAATGCATTTCATCCTCAATTAGACCTTTGTTACACTTGTCTCAAACCCTGTTGTTTAATGGGATTTTTTATGACGACCCATTTCAATTTTGGGACTATGGTCACTAAGACGAAATTTGGTAAGCACACTACGCAGTTCAAAGTTTTTTAGCTTGACTAAATATTACTCAAGCTTTAAATCTGATTTGATTAGCCGATATGTTCTTAGTTTGTTTTTCTCATTTGCTTTGGTGCGGTTATCATTATAGACCTCACCTTTCCATCTTGTTAGGAATAAATCTTTGATGCCCAAATCAATTTGTTTCATTTGTGCAGAAGTTAATTTATCACAGTTGTTAACTAAATGATATTGTTGGATATTGTTTAATAACGATGTTACTTCTAGATACCATTTACTTTTAATGTTTTGGTTAACCACAACAGCTTCCTTGAGTAGCACATTATTTGAATTCATGGCCTGACTGTAATATTTAATTATTTTTTTTTTTTTATAAATACATCTAGGGGTATCTGCCTAACTCGCTATACATGGCCATAATTGGTGTGTGTTGTGACACCCCTAGTAGATACCGACAATAACTTAATTGAACGTCTTCAATAGGTGATTTAGTGGAGAATTCATCACCCCAAACATCACAACCAAAAACGAGGATAGGTCTGATGAGTTTGTCAAAAAGGGAAATTGAAACTTTTATACTTATGTTTTGAATTGAGCCAAGCTTTGCTTTCATTGAAAACAGTTTTTTGAGCCTTAGGCCATCTATACACCTACCATTGGCACTAATGACTAGTCCCAGATAGTTATAAGATTTAACTGTATCAAGTTTGATACCTCCAAGAAAAAATGTATCATTATTCAAGCGTCTGTCTGTATGAACAAAGATGGCAACTTTGTCTATTGTGCAGACCAATGAGTACAAACTGTGACGTCACTAAGCTTTAACTGTGTAGAGAACTGACCCACAAGACCACAATTGATTGACTGGATGTGTTTGCATTTGATAAGACTATATAGTGTGTATATATATATATAGAAATACAACATATTTCTATTATTGAGTTACAATTGTCCAAAAAATTGCCAATTTTGTGTTTTTACTTGTGTAAACTATATGCATGCCATAACCCGTTAGTGTACATCTTGCCAATTGGGTGTTTGCCATTTGCGTTGCCCATACCTGACCCGACCCTAACCCTAATGCCAAGACACGTTCCTGTTAATAATTCCGTTGCCCATACCTGACCCGACCCTAACCCTAATGCCAAGACACGTTCCTGTTTATAATTGCTCAATAATGATACTCTGTTGTGCACTGTCTGCGGGTAAGTTGCATTGATGTCAACTGATTAAACAAGTCACGTTTAAGTAATTTTCACTATTAACAAGTGGTTAAATTGTGACAATAAATGTATGAACAAATATTTGAGATTAATTTTGGTGTAGGCAACTCTCGTTTAATTATTTTACACCATTACAAGTTGTTAAATTGAGAGAATAAATGTGCGGACAAATACTTTAGACTTATTTTGGTGTAGACAACTCTCGTTTAAATATTTTACACCATTACAAGTTGTTAAATTGAGAGAATAAATGTGCGGACAAATACTTTAGACTTATTTTGGTGTAGACAGCTCTCGTATAATTATTTTACACCATTACAAGTTGATAAATTGAGAGAATAAATGTATGGACTAATATTTGAGACATATTTTGGCGTAAGCAACTCGTGTTTGATTAATTCCCACAATTACAAGTTGTTAAATTGAGAGACTAAATGTGTGGACAATTATTTTAGACTTATTTTGGTGTAGAAAAGTCGCATTTAATTTACTTCCACAAATTACAAATTGCTAAATTGAGAGAATAAATGTGTGGACAAATATTTGAGACTTATTTTGGTGTAGACAACTCTCATTTAATAATTTTTCACCATTACAAGTTGTTAAATTGAGAGAATAAATGTATGGACAAGTATTTGAAACTTATTTTGGTGTAGACAACTCTCATTTGATTAATTCCAACAATTACAAGTTCTTAAATTGACAGAATGAATGTATGGACAAATATTGATCATTATATTTGTGAGTAAATACCTGTTGTATAATTAATTTCCACCTCTACAAGGTTGTTAAATTGAGAGAATAAATGTGTCGACAAATATTTGATACTTATTTAGGTGTAAGAACTCGTGTTTGACCAACTTCCACCATTGCAAGTTGTTAAAATAATGAAATAAATATACTGGTATCATTGGATATTTGATTTAATTGTGAAACTTTCTAACAAAATGTTAACTGCTGGCTTCGAACCCTCAATCAACAATTCCGCTGACACAGTATAAATTCCACAACACCACAGAAGATATTCGTCTGTTGCCTGAATTGTTTTCGTAATATAGGGAACGCCATCGACACTTTAACAAAACTTACCTTGAC